TATATATATATATATATATATATATATATATATATATATATATATATATATATATATATATATATATATATATATATATATATATATATATATAATTTTCACAAATCTTCAAGGATATATATGTAATAACACGTATCTTGTTCGCGGATCTGACCAAATTTGGACCCTGAATCATAGACTGTCCGATACGGTCCAGTTTGAATTGGTTCAGCGAGCGAGCCAGCAAGAGCGAGAGAGAGAGAGAGAGAGAGAGAGAGAGAGAGATGTGGCCGTTCCACAGGCGAGGGCCGTCCGGCTTCTCCTCCTCCTCCACGGCCGAGGAAGTGACGGAGGGACTCGATGGGAGTGGCCTGACTGCCATTGTTACAGGTGCTCCTCTGTTTACGGGATCCCGCTCTTTCTCTCTCTGTGTTTCCCTGCCATTTGCTCTCCAAGATTATGCTTCTCTTCCTTGGACTTACTGCCGATGCTGGAAAATCTTGTTGCTTATATGCATACTTAATCATCTAGTTGCAATGAAGATTTGCCAGTCTGTTTATTACTTCGTGCATCGAGGAAATAAGGGAAGTGCGGAGTATTTGGTTGGTGATCTTTCGTTTCTTGGTTTAAATTTTAGCATTTTTTTTAACAAGATTTCTTCTGTTTAGGGGCAACTTTAGTGGTGTTGAATGAATGGGCTCACTTGGATTACAACTATAGAATAGTGCCAATTTGGGATTACGGGTCGTCTTATTCTTCATTTTCAGAAGACCGCTCTTTCGGGAGTTCCTTTCTTCTTCAGCGTGAAAAGAACTGCCCTTAGTGGGGATTATAAGATCTCATGCTTCATTTTGGTCAGTTTGGAATGTTTGTGACAGCATATAAGCGAATTCACAAGTTTTCTGCATTCATCAACTAGGCCATTCGGTGTGTTTGGTCATGTACAAAAATATGAAATGCTTCCTAGTAATTGTAGTACATTTTTCTTTTAGGAATTTGATTGTTCTGCCATCCTAATGCTTGACATTGCATGTCACCCACTCAACTGCAGCTCATAGTTTGGTACTACATCGCATGATAGGTCTAGAAGACCACGTGTTGGCTTGTACTCTTTGTTAGAGAATAATGGAATCTTAAATTTATGTTTTCTCTATGAACAAACCATAAATTTATGAGAGCAGTAACAACTGGAACGATTAATTTTTACTATTTGGTTTTGATAAACAAAACGTAAGCCTTTAGCATATTGCAAAACATATATATAACTGTGAACTTTATAATCATCTCAGCAATGTAAAAGTGTGTGGTAAACATCATGACTCTAGCTTTTGATCACCTGCCAACTATGTGATATATGCCAATCATTTGAACTTGGTATTCTGCTTAATTGAAAGGTAAGACATGGAAACACTTCTCCAGCTTAATAGAATGCCAACTATGTGATAAATAACTGAAGTTTTTAAAGTTTAAAACAAGTAGGGAACCAGCAAACATGGTGTGACATTATTCCTTCAAGGAAAAAAGGTGGCCACAATAACATGAAGGGAAAACTTGCAGAAAACTAACATAGGAATTCATGATCACTGACTCGAAGAGATTTGTATGCTTGGAAGAATTTGGTCATTCATTAGACAAATGGTGAGCTTATTATACAAAAATTTTGTGAGATTAATATTTCATCTTAATTACAGGAGCATCAAGTGGCATTGGCACTGAAACTGCACGTGTTCTAGCACTCCGTGGTGTTCATGTTGTTATGGGAGTGAGGAATTTATCTGCAGGCCATAATGTTAAAGAAGCAATCATTAAGGATATCCCCACCGCAAAAGTTGATGTCTTGGAGTTGGACCTGAGCTCAATGGCATCAGTAAAGAAATTCACTTCACAATTTGGCGCTCTAAATCTTCCACTAAACATCCTTATGTAAGCAATCTCAAGCATTCATGCTAATAGGCAAAAAATTATAAGTGTATAATGGATGTACGTTTTGGTCTTCCTTTGAGTGTACTTCTGATCTTTTTGGCTACCTCTCAAACTCAGTTTAGGATGTCAGGAGATGACATGACATGTTTGCCTTTTCTCTTCAAGTAATAATGCAGGAATCATGGCAACTCCCTTTATGTGTTCACATGATGGTATCGAGCTTCAGTTTGCAACAAACCACATTGGTGAGTTACATTGGTATTATATCACTTTTTATGAAAATGAATTGAAATATGTTTTAAATACAATAAGTAGTAGAATCTTCCACTATATACTGATAGCTATAAGATTTCGATACATAAATGTTTCTAATCCATCGTCTTCAGAAACTATGGAACTCTAGCGATGCTAAGTGAATAATGTTTGTTTCTATGTGGAATTTGATTTGTATCCCACTTTATATGACATCTTAAATTTTTAATAAGTTCTGATGTCAGCATTACAGCAATATTAATTAGCACCTCTACTGTTGCACTAATTTCCTTTGATGAAATACTAATTGTTGTCAAAGGAATTTTTTGTTGGTATATATCTTATAATAGCCTTGTCTTCTTTGTAAAGTTCTTTATATCTTTCTTATGGTTTATATAATTATCTGCTAGAATCACTCTCTTTGATCTTTTTGTAATGAGAAGTGTAATCCTAGCAGAACGAGATCTTTGAGACATGCCTATACATGCTTTAAGGAATTCACTATGGTAAATTGATAAAACGTGTTTCTCATTATTCAGGTCATTTTCTTCTCACTCATCTTTTGTTGGAAAAGATGAAGAATACGACACGCAGCTGTAATGTTGAGGGCAGGATAGTCAATGTTTCATCTGAGGGACACAGGCTTACTTACCTTAAAGGCATTCGTTTTGACAAGATTAATGATAAATCAGGGTGAACTTTCTCAAATAATGATGTAAATTTAGAGTTGACATTTTCTGACTTATGCTCAGTCAACTATCTAATTGTTAAGATCTTTTTTGTATCTTTATCTTTTATATCTATTCATGTGACACTGATATAGTTTTTTTTCAGGTATTATTGTTATTTTGCTTATGGGCAATCAAAACTTGCTAATATTTTGCACACAGTTGAGCTATCTAGACGTTTAAAGGTATTCCTTATTTCTGTTGGATATCACAATATCTTGATTGAGTACATACAAATTTTAAAGAACCTCTTTCTGTACAAGTGAGCATATTTAATTCTTTTGGTACTTATTACATAAAACATTTTTTTGTTAGTGTTATTCTCAACCACATTCTTTTGTCATATCTATATACTATTTTAATGCAGGCCTCCCCTAATTGTTCAATCTTATGACTTCTTGTTCTTGACTTTGTTAGTTATCCATCGCCATGTATGCTCTATTAGTCTATTTAACATCCAATAAGGTCTTGTTAAAAAGATCTTCAATTTTCTTAGACAAAATTTTTTAGTTTTCCATGTCACACTCATTCTAGTAATGTGCCCATAGTGGTATGACAAAGGGTCAGGTATGGCACTTCGACTCACCTTCAGCAGGTGGCACAGCCCTTGTGCCAACACCATTCTATGATATGGCATGATCAAATTTTACTAAAAATCAAAGAAACCTTGTCCATACAAGATGAACACCTAAGAAAGAATAAGGAACAACAAAATGCTGTCATTTCGTCTGTGCTCAAATACAGTATAGAAGGTAATTAGTTCTCCTTTGAGACACCAAATAACTTAGCTAGCTTAGTAAGAAGAAAAAGAATTGCATTTTGACTTACAAAGAGTTGCTTCCAGGTAGCAGAAGAAGCTACTCATGGAGATTGCAACAGTCAGCAAAGAAAAACATAAAGTTAATCTTCTCTTGTCATTAGGTTCTATGGAGGGCAATATCAGTTGTCAAACAATTAGTTTAGCTCATGCTTGTTGTGAAATCCTTCTTAGTTGATCTTAAGTTCTGGGAAAGGGGGATTGTCTTAGGCAGATAAAATCCATCATAAAATTTAGTTGGATCTTGTGTGAATTTAGCATTTGTGCATCATAAAACATTTGTGTGGGTCATGCATTCATCATTAACAAGGTTCATTTGCATATGACATTAAAGTGCATTTTGTACAGGAAGAAGGGGTGAATATAACAGCCAATTCACTACACCCAGGAGTCATTGTCACTAATCTTTTCCGTCACCATGGTTTTGTGAATGGTAATGTACAAAAAGAATTACAATGCTTGCATTATTATTTCCGTCACCATGGTTTATTTCTTCAGTGGTAATGTACATGTTTGACACATTTTTCTACAGTATAATGACAATATGACAGATGTGTGCATAAGTTTAGATATGTTCATAAAAGTGAACATGATTGGTTTTGAAGCCTCATCTTGTCAGTACTGAATGTGCCCTTTTTCTGTTGCAGCCATTTTGGGTACCGCTGGGAAGTTAGTGACGAAAAATGTTCATCAAGTGAGTCCTAATTCTGTTTGTTGCATGCATATTTTACATCATGAATAGCTAATAAGATTAATTTTATTTTAAATACTAATCACTTGTAATTTTATAAGGTACGTATGTTTAATCTACTCATATAATCCATATAGGCCATTAATGTGCTCATGAAACATTCTGAGTTACCATTTTAGTAAGCCATATATCTCATTCAGGTTATTTGTCTTTACAGTAATCCTTTAGTTCAGAATATATGCCCTTGCATACTGAGGTATGTGCTACGGCTTGATAATGAATGGCTTTCTTAAGCTAGATTTACCTAAAAAATTAGGTTTTTTTCTTTTTCTTTTTTGGCAAACTGGCCACAGCAGCAGCAATTTTGAAGTCACAAGTTTCCTCCAAGAAATTTCCATATTACCAAAGTATAATGTATATTATGGCTGATGTAAATATAGCAATTTCAAGCAATTTGGAAGTCTTTATTCCGAGAAATACGACTATTTCGGAACCATCGGTTTTGGTTTCTCAAAACCAGGAATCCGAACTGAATCACCCAGGTTTCGGTTCTGGAATCAAAACCATTAATTCATGTTGTAGTTCTGGTTTGGGTTTGGGCAGTTTCGGTTTTCATTAGAACCAAAAAAAAAAAATTAATTATTTTTTATTAAAAAATTATAATTTTATTTCTAAATTTTGAAAAATAGATGTATAATTATAATGAGTGTAATGACATAAAAAAGTTGATATAAAAAAGAATAAAATTTTTAATCAAACTAAAAATGCCTCTATGAAAATTTAAACCTAGGTTACGTAGTTTTATTTTTGGTTCGATTCAGAACCAATGAACCATCAGTCCGATTTGATTCCGGTTCGAACCAAATCGTGATCAAGGCTATCTACAAGTATTGTACGAATAGCAGTGAGAGTTATTTGCTTGAGATGGCTGAATAATGTTTTTTTTCTTTTTAAGATGAACTTTTTCTGCTTCTTTAAACTAAGCATTGTATATGATTGCATTATGTTTGTAACCGAAATTGAAGCAAGCATTTTTAGTTGCAAAAAATATATCCTTTATAGTTGGTAAAATAACAGATACGTATCCAAGTGTTTTGCTTCATTATGTTTGTGAAAAGATTGCGGCTACTTTTGATACCGAGTATGCAATTGTTATACTTGTGCAGGGAGCGGCAACAACATGTTACGTGGCACTTCACCCGCAAGTAAAGGGGGTGACAGGAAAATACTTCAGCAACAGCAACTTTGCCACCCCAAGTTCCCAAACCTCTGATGCATATTTGGCCAGCAAATTGTGGGATCTCAGCATGGATATGATCTCATCGTGCCTTTGATTGCATCTCAAATCTTTGATTAAATCTATTATCCTCGCAAATCAACTTTCAATAGTATTTGTACTTATTGTTGACCATGGCCGACAACAAGAAAGTGTCATCAAATGCCAAATCCAGGATGGCCCCTAATAATGAAGCATTATTAGCATGATCAACTATTTTTATTTAATGAGCCTCCTGTCGGCTCAACCAGTCTTTGTAATGTGTTAATTGTTAATCCCTCAAAAGTCTCATGTTTGACTACCCAAAAACAATTTGTATCAGTGTTCTGGTTGACCTTTGACAGTTGAGAACCAGTTATAAACAGAATGCTGACTTCCAATTAAGTTACCTTATGAAAGATTTGAATTCGGTTCTTCAATGGTTTAGCCTCTTGCAATTAGTTGGGAAACAGTCAAATTGATCTGATCATTTTTCAGTCTTTTGATGGCATAAATAACATGCTGAAGTTGGAACAGCTTTAAGCATGTCTTCATGGTCGTATATATATATATATATATATATATATATATATATATATATATATATATATATATATATATATATATATATATATATATACTCTTTTTTAAAGCTTTTTTTGACGAAGTAATTTTAAAAATAGGTATAAAAACCCAAAAGAAAGGTTTTCTCAAGAGAATATATATATAT